CTTAATAGTTCTGTCTTCCTTCTTACAAAAGACCATATACATTCCGAGAAGAAAGAGTTATCATTATGGAATAAAATACAAGTGTGATGCTATAGTAAATTTACTGAGCACGGTCATTAGCTTGACTGATCTAATTAGAGGACATGTAGAAAATACATGTCTCACTACAAAGTGGTTCAAGATAATGGACATTTTTATCTGCAGATGGAGATGAAAGTGTAGCTAAAATGACTATATGTGTGATGAAGGAAATGGCTGTTTAAAATGTGTAAAGTTTGATATAACACTTCATTTTCCTCACTGATGTCAGATGCAAAGACAATGCTAGTTCCCTACTCCTATTTGTTATAAACTTGCTTATGCATTCAAGATGAGTATTTGCCCTCTTACTCTACAGCTGTATGCTGAAAACTCATTTTTAACCATTTACCTATTATTATAACCAGAAAAGTTTTTATGATTCCTTATTGAAGAAAAAAATGCAGGAGTTAACTGGGAAAAAATTTTGGAACAGATTCTTGTCTGTATCAATTTAACCCAATGACTTCAATAAAATCATGCAAGTTTAGGCAAGGTCAGAATCTTGCTTAGCAATATTGAGACAAAAAACCTGGAATATAAGCATTTTGTGATCAAAGCCAACTTGACGGTGCATCTGAACTCCCTTTCTTTCCCTCCCCCACAACATTTAGGCATTAGTTTTTCTCAGGATCCATTATTGAATACACTGTACTTCGTCACCATTCCCATCCACCTAAATTAAAATGGTGTCTCCAGATCTGGAATAAACTGCACCTTCTGCTTTCTGATAGCTCTTACTATAAACAAAGACAGATAATGACAGTTTAATATTAATCAAGCTTTGAGTTTGTCTTTCTGTCCACTGACCAAGTCTGGAAAAGGAACTTGTATACCTTGGTTGTACCTTGGGGCAGAACTGCAATTCTCAGTTACTGCTTGAACGTTACCAGTGGAGCAGTAGATACCTTTGATCAGGGACCGAACCTGAAAGGTGAGTCTTAGTGCTGAGGATCACAGATATTTCTGCTATGTTCCATAAGAATCAGTTCCTTTATCTAATAAAATACACATATACTGCTTCTATGTACACATTTTCTAGTTTCTTATACTGATTACAAACATGTTTCTTTTGTTCATCCAGAAGACTATTCCTCTCAAACACAGATTTGTTTAGAACCTTTGTAAATTATTGCAGTACAAAGGTATGTCTCTCTAGCATTTTTTCTCTTACTTACAATTCACAATGGCAATGTTTATACCTCTTCCAACATTACCCTTCTCTTCACTTATAAGCCTGGAATCAAAATAAATACAGTATCAGTACAATGCATCCATCCAGAAGCTCTGATCCAAAGTTATATTTACTAATGCTAAGTCACTTTCTGATGTTCATGTTTTCTTCAGTTTCAGCTTCAATTCAACACTTTGTCATAAACAAGAGCTATGGCTTAAAATCTTGCACATTGTATCAGTCAGTTTCCTTCAATGATGCACAACAAGTCTTTCAAAATGAGCCAGATCAAGAAAGTACCTTGTACAAATGCAGCCAGAAAGATAAAGTAGAAAAAAACCAAGATAAAATGTGGGTTTGTGGAAGTATTCTGTCTGGACCGCGTCTACACAAAAGATCATTGCAAGGTTTTGAAATCACTCTACCTGTCCAGTTTGAAAAGCCATGAAAGAACTTGACTTTCAGGTGTTGATCATTCAGCATCCTGTAAAGTGGCTATTCCACATCATGAAAATTAAAAATCATACTTGAAACTAACAATTGAATGCAGCTTATGTACAGGAAAGAAGAAAACAACCTGAGGTTAGGTATTTAAAAAAAAAAAGGGGGAAAAAATATTTAAATATGGTCAGAGATATTCTGAAGTTTATCACCAGAATAGGAGCCCCCTGGTAGGAGTTTACTTGCTGCTGGTGAGCCACAATGAAACGTAGTTCTTCATACCACAAAACACTGGCTTAGATTTAAAGTTAGCCTGGTACTCACAGCTCATCCTCAAAACAAATTTTAGCCAGCTTTTCTTTGCCACCACCACTAAGAATCCGATAGGCATAGTCCTCAGGCGAGCAGGGAGACCAGTGATCACACTTCTGCCTTTTTGGGACTGGGGCTACAACAACAAAGATGAGAAAATATTTTCTTGGATGCTGCGTAAACAATTTCTACATGGAAAGAATCACTTAATGTCAACATGCTAAGCTCAAACATACATACACAGAAGCAAATCCTGCAAGTTTTCCAGTATCATGGCAATATTACCAGAGATTTGCCTGGGCTTTAAGTTACCATTGACTTCCAAACAGCTGCTGGGACCAAGAGCAAGCTTATCTAGGTAAAAATGCCTCATGTAGTATGATCTGACTCAAATTTAGAGTAATTATTTTGTGCTATTTCATATAACAGGAAACAAGGACTAGAGGAATGAAGGATTCCTACCAATAGCTTCAAGTTAATGGTTATCATTCTAATTTTATCACATGATAACATAGTCATAGAATGAGAAAATGTACACATTGAGCCACCTAGTCAGGTTAGAGGAAAGAAATAATGAGAATTTAATCACAAAGTTTGGTTAGTGACTCAATAGTTTACGGTAACTGTAAAATACATGTGACAGAACAAAAGCTGCAGCTTTGTGCTTATATGCCAGCAAACAAGTAAGGTGTTCTTAAATTACTATTCAATTAATTATATTTCCATACTGGCAAATATAGGCTGACATTGGTTTATCTGCAAAGACAGTGTCTAAGAAATAGTTCAGTCTTGCACTAATTAATTAACTTCACACTGCCAACTTCATTCTTACAATAGTACATATCAAATCATTTATTAGCTAACAAGCCATTTGCCATTTACCATGTAAATACACAACTTTAGATATAGTATAAGGAAGAAAAAAAGAAATACAACTACACACCCCTCAACACTTGTTTCTTCCCAATGTCTTGAAGATTAGAAATAGATGTTATTATTGTCTCTTCAGGTACATGTGCAGCGAATAAGTAGCCCAAGTACCAAGCACCCAATATTGTCAACAGGAGCCCTGCTAATTTTGCAAGATCTGCCAAAGGAAAAAAAAAAAAAAAGAAAGAAAACCACAGAGATATATAAACGTTTTCACAGCAACACACAAAATCTTGTATTTTGTCTGGCATTGCTACACAAACTGGCTAGTTTATTTCTGATACACTGTGTTAACCACAGCCATTAGAGATGTGGCAAGAGAGTATTTGTTGCTTTCCCATCTCTGACAACCCCTTTTGTTTCTAAAACTTGATCTTCAAGCAGACCCCCCCCCTCCCCCCAAGACTCCCCTCAATCCACACTCATAATACCCCAGAGAAACTTGAAGTTAAACTTAATCCTAGTAGGATTTTGACTCTGAAATGTAAGTACCAGATACTACACATGACTATACAGATAGTATGCAGTTACTTTTGATTTTCTGTGATAGCAGACACTACAGGAATGGTTTAAAATGCTGACCATACAGGGAACTCCCTCCACCCCTTTGACATGCTGGGTAAAAATAACTGAAGAAAGCCCAATCTCATTCACACAATGAGCTCTGACCGTATTCAGACATGACTGAAGTGACGGTTCCACCTTCCCCCAGTTATATCAGTTTCCATGGACTGTACTATCAGTGCATCTGCACACTAAAAAACCAACAGGATTCACAATTTTCCTGACTGAAGAAATATAGATCAATTCCATATTGGATATCTCCTCTTCCTCTTCATCAGAAATGCTAACATGCATTCCTGATCCAGAACAAATGCATCACCTAATTTATGATGCTAAACGAAGAAATATCACACTGCAATTATGAAACACTGATGTTTTAATGTCACGAGATACTTCCTGATCTGTGAAGAAACATGCCCTTGAACATAAGGAACCATTAAGGTGAAAAAGGAAAATTTTTTGTTTTCATAGTCCTGAAAATCAAATTCAATAGAATCAATGTCCAAAAATATCCAATACATTCACTTTGCCAACCTGCTAGAAAATATTGTGCATTATCTAGCCTAAGTCTCCCTTATAACAGTTTACACTCAAGAAGATCATGCAACCATAGAACATTTGGTTGGAAAAGACCTTTAAGATCATCAAGTCCAACTGTACCTGTCCACTACTAAACCATGTCCCTAAGCACCACGTCTACCCATCTTTTAAATACCTCCAGGGATGGGGACTCCACCACTTCCCTGGGCAGCCCATTCCAGTGCCTGATAACCCTTTCGGGGATAAACTTTTTCCTAATATCCAATCTAAACCTCCCTTGGCGCAACTTGAGGCCATTTCCTCTCGTCCTATCATTTGTTACTTGGGAGAAGAGGCCGACCCCTACCTGGCTACACCTTCCTGTCAGGCACTTGTAGAGGGCGATAAGGTCTCCCCTCAGCCTCCTCTTCTCCAGGCTGAACAACCCCAGTTCCCTCAGCTGCTCCTCATGAGACTCGTGCTCCAGACCCCTCACCAGCTTCATTGCCCTTCTCTGGACACACTCCAGCACCTCAAGGTTCTTCTTGTAGTGAGGGGCCTAAAACTGAACGTAGTATTTGAGGTGTGCTGAGTACAAGGGAGGGATGACTTCCCTGCTCCTGCTGGCCACACTAGTCCTGATATAAGCCAGGATGCCATTGGCCCTCTTGGCCACCTGAGCATATTCAACCGGCTGTTGACCAGTATCCCCAGATGCCTGTCTGCCAAGCAGCTTCCCAGCCACTCTTCCCCAAGACTATAGTGTTGCAGGGGGTTGTTGTGACCCAGGTGCAGGACCCAGCACTTGGCCTTGTTGAACCTCATACAATTGTCCTCGGCCCATTGATCCAGCTTGTCCAGGTCCCTCTGTAGGGCCTCCCTACACTCAAGCAGATCAACACTCCCACCCAGCTTAGTGTCATCTGCAAACTTGCTGAGGGTGCACTCAATCCCCTCGTCCAGGTCGTCCGTAAAGACGTTAAACAGAACTGGCCCCAACACTGAGCCCTGGAGAACACCACTTGGGACTTGGCTGCCAAATGGATTTAATGCCATTCACCACCACCCTTTGGGCATGGCCATCCAGACGGTTTTTTACCCTGCAAAGAGTTCAGGCCATGGGCAGCTGGGTTCCCAACCAGAATGCTGTGGGAAATGGTGTTAAAGGCTTTACTAAAGTCCAGGTAAAGAACATCCTTTCCCTTGCCCACTAAGCATGTCACCTTGTCATAGAAGGAGATCAGGTTAGTCAAGCTGGATCTGTCTTTCATAAACCCATGCTGATTGGGCCTGATCTTCTGGTTGTCCTGGACTTGCCATGTGATGGTACCCTAGATGATCTGCTCCATGACCTTCCCCGGCACAAAGGTCAGACTGACAGACCTGTAGTTCTCCGGATCTCCCTCCGGCCCTTCTCATAAATGGGCGTCACATTTGCCAACCTCCAGTCAAGTGGAACTTCAACAGTCATCCAGGACTGCTGATAGGTGATGGAAAAGGTCTTGGTGAGCACCTCTGCCAGCTCCCTCAGTACCCTTGGGTGGACCCCATCTGGCCCGATGGACTTGCATATGTCTAACTGGCTGAGCAGGTCACTAACCATTTCCTCTTGGATCATGGGAGCTTTGTTCTGCTCCCCGTCCCTGCCTTCTAGCTCAGGGGGCTGGGTACCTGGAGAACAGCTGACCTTACTATTAAAGACTGAGTTAAAGAAGGCATGAAGTACCTCAGCCCTATCCTCATCCTCTGTCATTACGGTTTTCCCTGCATCCAGTAAAGAATGGAGATTCTCCTTGGCTCTCCTTTTGTTGATAATATATTTATAGAAACATTTATTACCTTTCACAGAATTAGCCAATTTAAGTTCTAGTTAGTCTTTAGCCCTTCTAATTTTCTTTCTGTATGACATATTCCTTTCCTTCTTGGAACTGCCTTCTATAAATGTTAAAATTTCTGCCCTACCCCTCTCTTCTAGAATTAGGCCAAATTATTTACTTGTTCTCCTCAAGTCCTGTTTTGCAGGTCCTACCACTCTTGCTGTGAGTTCTACCCAATTGGTCTGCGTGTTTTACTGTGGAAGAGGCACACTATTCCAACACACACATTCTGGAGGCTCTAATTCTGGTTGCTCATGTCAGAAGGAAGTTTAACTTTTTTTCTTAACAATAGACTTTATTGACACAGGTTCTATTTATAATCCACCATGAAGTCCAAATCCTTTTTCCTGTAAGGATTGTAACACAGATTGGTAAAGCTAACGCTGAACAGTACTATCACCTGAACTCCCCCTTCTTTATACTAGTAACAGAAGTAGCAAGTGGCCCTGTCTGACCCAGACATCCTTAACAACTGAAGCACAGCTGTACTCCAGCCCTTGAATGTCAGTGAGGAAAAATGCAGATCATTATGGACGTTGAAGGTTCTTCTGTAAATAATCCTAGTTTCTCATTTCCTGCATCAGGAAAAAAAAAATGAGGGGAGGATACTGTGAGAAACTTACTATATTTTCATCAAAGGATTAAGATTGAGAAAGTAATATAATGAATCTTCAGAGAAGGTAACAAATTCCCCAATTATTACCACAGTCTAAGAGAAATCTGTCTCACTTTAGCACTAGTAGTGGTGCAAACCTGCACTAAAATAATACTGAAAATTTCTTCAACATTAAATTCATACAGTGAATGTGAATGTGAGCACTGACAAAGTTCACACACATGAAGAAGAAAGGTGCAGGAACCATGTAGAATGAAACTTACTTTTTCTCTTTTTGAATACTAAAACAAATATCAGATTTATATACAAAATAGATTTCATGTGTAAAGGAGACCAAGGCACAACTTTCAAAGACAAAACCCAGGAAGAATTAAGTGAAAACTACAGGTTTATTTAAAGATTTCAGTGATTATTTTTTGGGGGGGGCGTGTGCATTTTAAAGATCTACGAAACGATCAGTCAGGTTTTGTTTTGTTTTTTCTGTTGTTGGCTTAGCAGGTTTATCTTTACAATGATTTTTTTACTGTTTTCCTCCAAAACTATGGAGCAACACTGTTGCAAACTAGGCTCTACAGCACAGCATTTTACTTAAGTAGAAGAGAAAGTACAGGATGTCTGACTTCTGTTATTATATTTCGTATTTTACTTCACAAGCTTCTTAAATGGTTCTAAAATACACCTTTTAAGGTTTAAGGAATACATTTACCAACTCTCCTGCACAGTTTGTACTTAGTTCTCAAAACTGTCAGAAAACGTTTTCACTGTCAACCAACTTCCAGTATTGCTTTCTTGGATTCAGAAGGCACTGGGGGGAACCACACTGAAGCTATCTGCTGGGTCCACCTGGATCACTTAGATTTACTGAGGTTACATATCCTGCACATGTATGCTCTTTTTTTTGTGTACCTGCACAGAGATGCACAAAACCCTACACAATAGCAGCTAAGCCATAAGCTTAGACAAACTTAGGATAGTTAAGAGAGCTCAAGAGTTGCTAGCCACAGCAGTTATGCGTTATAAAACGCAAAGCCCGGCCTACGTTCACAAAAGCCAGACTGCCCTTTTTCTGATTTTAGAGGCTGTGCCTCCTCAGCCCACACCTTGGCTCAGCACCGAGGAGCAGTACGGGGATGGCGTGCCCCTGCTGTGCCCAGACAGGTGGCACAAACCTCTCTCATTCCATTTCTGCTGGAGAGGTACTCAGCCAGACATACTCTGCAATACTCACGGTGCCAGACATGTAAGAGGGCAGGGAGGAGCAGGGAGAAGGAAACCGTGTGGACAGTCCGGATGGCGGTGTGGCAGGGCGCGTAAGACAGCAAAGGAGAAGGGAAGGAAGACGATTAGCAGTCCCGCCTTACAGCAGCTCCCGATTTCCTTTCTCCCTCAGGTGCTCGCTCGCCCCTTAGTAACAACTGAAGTACTAAGCTTAACCACGGTATCTTTTCCTTTTTTTGTGCTCAGCTGACTTAAAATGCCCACGCTGCCACACCTCGCTTATACACACCCACCCCCACGCAGCAGGACTTTAACCGGACGGGGGGAAGGAGGAAGAATCGACCTAAGACTCGAACTTCAGTT